AAGGTGCAACGTTTGGGACGAGATCCATTGGGCGGTACGTGCTGTGCCATGTATGCGCCGCTCAGGGTGTGAGCATGAGCACAGGCATAAATGCCAATTGAATGCAGTGGACCAGTATTTTTAGCGTCTTACACCTTTCCATTTGTCTCAAAATGGGCGGATGGACTACCTCACTATCATAAATGATAAGACACCAGCCCCCGTTATATGTGCACAGCCTACAATTGTATGATTTAAGGTAAGGAAGCTAAATTTCCTGACAGCCATAACCATTATATTCACACGCGATCACAGTCATGCTATATTCTTCAGAACATTATACGTACTTAGTCAATGCAATTTCTCCTCAAGCAGTGTTGCACAAACCCGTCTTGTCAAGTGGACGGATTATGTCTGCCAAGGACTTTTTTCAGTTGTCTTTAACGGACCAGACAAATTCGTGCATAAACTCATGATTCACAGTATGCCCAATCAGTCAGGCTCCACATGGTAGGGCCGAAGCCAAGCGGTGTTGGTCACAGATATAAGTGCCTGGAAGCCGAGCGCCAGCGCACGTCCGCCTGCTTCAAGTCCTCATGGCAATGTAGACCGTTCCAATCCATCGATAAGGTTCTATTTGCATGAGGTCCTGAAGGTGATAAACCCCATTCGGTTATGATTTCCATCACTTGCGTGGCTATCACACCTCTCCCCTCTCGCCACAGAAGGCGCGTGACTGGTACGCAGCTACCCACATCACCAGCTAGGCCGCATGACTGGTGTGCAGCTAATCACATCACCAGATAGGCCGTATAACTGGTTTACAACTACTCACAACTACTATACTTGCTGTAATTGTGTATGCACACTCACAAGCGCCAACATTTTTGTGTGCCCGTTAGCAAAAACGTCATTGGAATATGTGCTACGATCGCTCTGAAGTTTGCAAGTAATGTATTGCTTCCTTTCTTGCATGTCTTTGAGAGCTATCCCGTTTTGATTATTCTGATGCAGCCAATTTGTGATAGAACATGCATGGTCGACCTTAAACTTTGACAATGAGGTTGCTGGTAGAGCGCGAAACCTATTTCAATGGTTATTTCCAGGGCGGCGCAGGTCGAGCAGGCCTTAGTTCCAGGGCGGCGCAGGTCGAGCGAGCCTTAGTTCCAGGGCGGCGCAGGTCGAGCAGGCCTTATTGCCAGGGCGGCGTAGGTCGAGCAGGCCTTATTGCCGGGGCGGGGCAGGTCGAGAAGGCCTTATTGCCAGGGCGGCGCAGGTCGAGTAGGCCTCATTGCCAGGGTGGCGCAAGTCGAGCAGGCCTCATTGCCAGGGCGGCGCGGTACTAAAATGATCTTGAGCTACCCGGCTCAGACCAGCAGCCGTACTAAGTGGACGCCAATGTCCTTGAAACCGCCGATCGCATGTTCATTTAGTTTTCAACAGTAAGAGGGGTAACTCCCATGGACGTTAAGCCAGTAACCGTAGCGGAAATGGCAGCGCTTGCCCAAACCGATTTCGCACAGTGACGACAGAACATCAGTAGGCATGGGAGGGAGCCTAACTTCGCCTCGCTTCTTTTCGTGCACCGTCATAAGGCTGATGTTCAATTTTGCTCGGAGTTAGGGACAGCTGGCGCTGTCCCCCCTCGTTGTTCCTAATCCGCCGCCACTGATCTCGAATGTAGGATATGGCCTAAACCGAGGAAGATTTGTCCATCAGAACTAGACAGCCGTCAAGTCCCGTCCCTTGAAATCGATATGGGTGCAAAATGGTTGTGTTTTTCTCTATGCTTTTGCGTACAACTGCAAAGACGGAACTACTTGCAAACTCATCGATTCTTGACAGAAACTGTCGAGCCCCGGTAGTTCCGCAGCCAGCCAATTTCAAGCAATGTTATTTGTGACCCAACGCGCCAGTATTGCATCAGCGCCTCTGTCCTCCAAACTTCAACGACAGGTTTTGTTTCCAGCGCAACGTATCGCACCTACTGGTGTAGCCTTCCAAAAGGACGTCTGGACCACCTGCTTAATCTTCTCACCATGTGCAGGATATCTCTTTACAACCATCAGGTCCGTCACCGACCCAATCGTCCAGCACTGCTCAGGGATTCTGGCTGACTGTATGATGGCAAGTAAAAACTGCATATTCTAAGCCCTCGAACGGCTTATTCATTTTAACTTATATTTTTCCAGATGTTAAATTTTAGTTCAGTTCACACAGCAGACACTATTCATTAAAACGGCAAAATGAAATAGGACAATACCTGGTGCATGTATAAACAGGTGTTGTCAGAGGATGACATAACGCATTTGCGAATAGGTCAAGCAAACAACACCTTCGATTGATTGGACGTGCCTTTCACTGCGTTCGATCTATAACTGGAACATAGCCTGGTGCTGGACGCGCCAGCTTCTTAGTGAGTCGAAGGCCGTGGCGAGCTTCCGTGTGCAGTGTTTGACCGTCCCAAACAGGAAGCAGTGATCCAGGCGCGGAGCTGGGGTGCCGCTGCGCTTAAGGTGTCCGCCAAACGAGCATTCCTTAATGGGTTCACACATTGTGCTGCAGCGCTTAAATTCGCAAGGTGTCCCACGTGATTTGCGCACACTTATCTACACATATGCCTTCATAGATGTCCCCGTTAGTTTTCGAAGAATTGTGCTTTGTACACGTCCTACATGGTGTTTTACCGATCATGTGGGCGTGTTTGAAAATAAAAAGAGTTGAGCTTCTGGATGCAGCGTCAATCTCCAGGGTCATGTGTCAATCCCTCATTGCAACTTAAAGTGCTTATTGAGCGTCGAATCTCGCGGAAGAAACAACGCGGTAGTGGGCGGGACGAGAGATTCCACATCATGGCTGTTGGGCGATGCGCAGATGTGATCAGCACTGCGACGGTGGCAAAGTACAGTTGCATACAATGCTATCGATTCATGCCGAGTCCCACCAACTATGTGGTGGGTTATCTTTTGAGTACTGCAGAGGCAGAACCGCGATGCTGCAGTGACGCCACCGATACATCTAAATGCCCCTCGTCCTTGATCGGCCTCGATTACCACCAATACCGATTATAAAACGATACCAAACGGTCATTCCAGTCGTTTTACAACGCGCATGACGAGACCTAACGTGCTGATGGTATGCACGGTGGCAAAGGGCGGGGGAGGAGTGGGTGTGACGCTGCCGGCAACACAGCGCCTGTCATCCTCCGGTGCCGTCGCTCAGCCGCTGTGTAACGGATTCCTCACCGGCAGCAGCGGCACACGGAGTCGATCGGCGGACTTGCCCGGCGCCAGAACGCCATTCGCCGTCTGGCGCATTGCTCACTCGCTCTTTTTTCTGCGATAACTGAACACTAACCTTGCTGTGATGCATAAAAAGAGCTGACTTGAAACACGATTTGACCAGGCCATTTTTGGAGGCATCCCTGCGCCGTTGCCGGATATCTGTGAGCCCGCGTTCGTGACTGGCGAGTGAGCGTGCCCGAAGCAGCGAGCCTGCGGAACTTCCGCTTGTGTGTCGGCTTCCCACACGACCCAGGACGACGTGGCGTGCTCCGACGGCACGGCGTGACGCCCGGCCGCCCCGCCAGCTGACCGCGGCGCCGGAATTGACCGCTGTGTGCCACTCGGATCCCAACACCCCGGCCGCCCCGCCAGCTGACCGCGGCGCCGGGATTGACCGCTGTGTGCCACTCGGATCCCAGCAGCCAGGCCGCCCCGCCAGCTGACCGCGGCGCCGGGATTGACCGCTGTGTGTCACTCGGATCCCAGCAGCCAGGCCGCCCCGCCAGCCGACCGCGGCGCCGGGATTGGCCGCTGTGTGCCACTCGGATCCCAGCAGCCAGGCCGCCCGCCCCCGCCTGTCTGCACGGCACAAAACTCAGCGGGCTTAGTCCCCGGCTCTGAACCGCGGCCAGTGGTTACCGGGTGGCATGGTCGCTGCTGCTGCTAGATCCAGAATGACTCAGGGAAGCCGAAAAATGACACTTACGGCAACGAGTTGTCTGCTAAAATTGTCAGAACGTATCACGACGCTAACGCCTGGTGGTCACAGCAGCGAAATGTGATGGGCTTGATCTGCCTACTACTCTGGTTACATTTGGTAATAATTACTCACACCATTGAGCTGCGCAGATATTAAAACGACATACCTCTGCTGTCATACATCTTGAGGCAGCCCGTGCCAATACCTTGTGCGTTCTCTGACCCAAGTGACATCAACTGCAACCGTTGGACAGAGACCCCGGCTCCATCTCACCCAAGCGACATCGGCTGCAACCGTAGGGCAGAGACCCCGGCTCCGCAGACAGCGAATGTCCGGTCGTCTCAGAAATGAGTTGGATCAGCTTGTTCTATGCAGTCGCAATCTGCTTTCGACCGCAATCTCCTTTAGCCGACAATATCCCGCGCCAGCGTAGGATTCTTCACCTGTCTGCACCTGGCATTGCCTGGAACTCCTGAACATTGACTGGTGTCCGTCTCAGTTGAAGCCTGCCTGGCCCTAGTTGTTACTGGGTGAACTTCCGTAACTGACCAGTCGATTGTTCATGCTTCATACTCTTCAAACGACCTTATGGCTGCCCTGCAGCTAAACCGTGGCTACTTCCTGACTAACCTCGTGACTGCTCAGTGACCGGCTTATCGCCGCGTGCCCCTGGTGACTGACTGACGGGCTCCCCCCTGCCCCCCGGGGAGCTGACCCCAGCGACTGACTCCGGCCACTGACCCCGGCAACTGACCCAGCTGGCGTCCGTCCGTAGGTGTGGCCGGCTCTGGAGGCTGTCCGTGCTGCTGCTGGCACTAGCCGGCTGTCTCGCCGGCTCGCCGGAGGTGAGGAGGCGCGGCCGCGGCCGCCACCGACACCGGCACGGCGACATCCTGGAGCAGATCGACACTGAGGAACTCGCGCTGGCGCTGGAGGCGCGCAAGCCGTCGGCGCCGGCGCCGCCGCCGACCGCCAACCTCTCGCTGCCGGCCGGCGAGCGGCGCGCCGCCATCGCTGGTCTGCGGCCGGACGTGCTCACCTCCTCGCGGCGCGCGCGGCTCATCACCAAGCGGCGGTACCTGAAGCAGGACTGGTGCAAGACGGAGCAGCTAGTGCGGCGGCTGCGCGAGCCCGGCTGCCGCTCGCGCCGCGTGCTCGACAACTTCTGCTACGGCCAGTGCAACTCGTTCTACATCCCACGCGAGGGCCGGCGCCGTGGCCTGGAGCCGTTCCAGTCGTGCGCCTTCTGCCAGCCGCGCAGCTGGCGCACCGTGGCGGTGACGTTCCGCTGCCCTGGCCAGGTGCCGGCGCGCCGCCGCCGCCGCGTCCGCTTGGTCAAGCGCTGCCGCTGCTCCACCGAGAAGCTGCAGCGCTGAGCAGCCGCCGCCCGCGCGGCGGCACTCGCTCCCCACCGCCTCGATTTGCTGCTGGGTCCTGAGCAGGGTCCGGCTGTCGCTCGCTCTGTTTGTCTGTCGCTCGACTGTTACACTCGGTCAGCGGCCGGAGGAGGAGCGGCGGGCTGTCCGCGGCTGCGGCAGCTGGTGAGGCGGTCCGGACCGCCGGCGCACGGCCCTGACGGCGACTCATCCCAGCCGGTCGTCCCCGGGGGAGCCCCTGAAGGTGACCGGTCGGCGGCGGCGCCAGTTCTGTCATCGGCTCGGATCATCTCTGTCTGCGGCCTCGGAATCGGCCGAAACGCTGCTGGTCCGTCCGTTAAAGGACTGCAGATGAAGCTGATAAGACACCGAGCCCCATTGAACTGTTGGCAGGTGACGTTATGTTGTGGCAACACGGGGCAGGGTAATCCGTGTCTCACGCGCTGGGTCTAGCTATATGCAGCTATTTACCGTGGCAACGCTATTGGTGGCTCCGCTGAGCCGTCAACTAGTCATTTCTTAGTCGTGTTGGCACGTTCGATGTGTATAGATGGGCAGCTACTAGACGTTGAAACGTAGTCAGGGACACGATGCCGTTCCGTTGAGGCCGTTGTTGTGCGTAATTGGTGACGACGTTGTTGCCGCGTTGACTCGCGCGTTTGAAGGCGAGGTCTGCGTCGTGTTCCGCTGGCGGATCCAGTTGCCGCCTCCAGCGACAGCAACAGCGCATGGCGGCAGGCGGTTGGAAGCGGAAGGCGGTCCGGCGCAGCTGCGGCGCCTCTCGTGCTTTTTGTTGTCCGAATACCCGGAACGGTAGTTGTGTTGTTCGGAGACCCCGAACGGTAATTGTGTCGTCCGGAGATCCGGAACGGCAGTTGTGTTGTCCGGAGACCCCGAGCAGCAGTTGTGTTGTCCGGAGACCCGGAACGGCAGTTGTGTTGTCCGGAGACCCGGAGCCAAAATTGTATTGTCCGGAGACCCGGAGCGGAAACTGTGTTGTCCGAAGACCCCGAGCGGCAGTTGTGTTGTCCGGAGACCCGGAACGGCAGTTGTGTTGTCCGAAGACCCGGAGCAGAAGTTGTGTTGTCCGAGGACCCCGAGCGGCAGTTGTGTTGTCCGGAGACCCGGAACGACAGTTGTGTTGTCCGGAGACCCGGAACGGCAGCAGGGCTGAGCCCTGCAGTGTGACGGCAGCAGAGCTGGGCTGACTTAAGCCCTGTTGCACGAAAGCAGCAGAGGTGTGCTGACTTTAGCCCCGTTGTGCGACAGCAGGAGAGGTGGGCTGACTGTAGCCCTGTTGTACGACAGCAGCAGAGGTGGGCTGACTTTAGCCCTGTTGTACGACAGCAGTAGAACTGGGCTGACTTTAGCCCTGTTGTACGACAGCAGTAGAGCTGGGCTGACTTTGGCCCTGTTGTACGACAGCAGTAGAGCTGGGCTGACTTTGGCCCTGTTGTACGACAGCAGTAGAGCTGGGCTGACTTTGGCCCTGTTGTACGACAGCAGTAGAGCTGGGCTGACTTTGGCCCTGTTGTACGACAGCAGTAGAGCTGGGCTGACTTTGGCCCTGTTGTACGACGGAGGCAGAACGCAGGCAAGACGTAGGAGCGTGTTTGTTTCCGGGCTGCGTTATGGGTACGAGAGCTGTGATAAATGCGACTCGTCGGTTACATGTTAGCAATAAATGGCGCGCTCCGTGCCGCAGTGTTCGAATGCAATGGACTCTGATTGCTGTCGTGTTCGAAAGCATGGCAACGTACCATGGAGAACAAAACTAATGATGTCATGAAAAAAGCATATATATATGCATACATGCATATATATATATATATATATATATATATATATATATATATATATATATATATATATATATATATGTGTGTGTGTGTGTGTGTGTTGTGTGTGGTGTGTGTGGTGGTGTGGTGTGGTGGTGTGTGTGTAAGTAACACAAACTGGTTGTGCCGACCCTCTACTGCTCAGTCTCTCCACGAGCTACGCGCCTGCGACGCCTGGTCATCAAGCATAATGCTCGCTTTGTCGCCAGCTACCACGGCCCTCTGCGTACCTTTCCGCTTTGCTTCCTTAACCAACTTCATCGCGAAGCTGAAACGATCGCCGCTCTGCAGAAGCAACAATCGCACGAAGATGGCTCCCATTGGTTCGCTGGTAACTACTAAACTATCAACGACGACGTCGTGTCTCCCTATCTAAGCTTTCAAACATCACTTCAGTTACCAAAATGCATTATGATACAGATCATATCTTGCGCTTCGTAAAGCCTCCTTTCGTATCTTGATCCACCGTTGCAGCAGCAGATGAATGCTGGATTCTCACACCGCTGGCGCCCGCACAAGCCAGTCGCGTGACTTTCCCTCTGCCTGCGATTGTAGCCCAATCGTACTGATCGGCATGACCAAATTATATGTTTATATATATATATATATGCATGCATATATATATATATATATATATATATATATATATATATATACGCATGGCATAATCCCGTTCGTAAACATTGCACCCGAAACTACATGAAATACTGCTATAACTTTGTGCCTTACCAGAGTCTCACCTTCACCACATAATGGGAGGCTCAAAAATCTCCTTAAGATCCAAAAAACTAAGCGATCTAATGCCACAAGAAACTGCAATAAAAAGTTCCAGTAAATTTGTATGAAATGTGTGTGTCTGAAGTGTGTAATGCGACCTTTGATAGGTCAAACTATCAAACAAACAAACAAAAAAGACAAAAGTTGTCAGATCAGCATTTTGCAGGCCATTCCGGTTATTTTTCGGTGCTAAGCATGCTACGACAATGCAAAAGTTGAATAGCTTTTGGAAAGCTCCGTTAAGTAGGCGCTAGTTGACATCGACGCATGCGAAATTGATTTAAAGCGGTTTAAAAGAGCTTTCCAAATGCCATATTTCCAGCGCTCAAGATTGCTTAGTTTTTGAGATCTTGAGAAGGCCTCTGGGGTACCCTTGTGGGGCGAAGGAGAAACAAAAAATTCCGAGGGGCGAAGGCTAAGACTCGACGCGCAATGATATGGTACGTTTGGGGTGCGCTAAAGACGGAGATACGCTTCCAAGCCGTCTAGAACGCCTTCCAACCCGGCGAGGAGAGCTGATGATGGGAATATCAGCCACAGAAACAGCCTCTCACGACAGCCGGCCAGCATCGGCCCGCTAACCATCACACACCATCATTCACAACAGGACGAGATCGGAGAGAGAAATGTAAGAACGTTGGAAGCAGTGAATGCGGAGACTGCTAGAAGTTTCTGCATACTATGCATTACGTCTAAGGCCAGCAGTCAACCGCGCTATGCTTGTGATCCATTGGACGTGCTGTTGCGCGTGAATAATCGCCATTTGGACATGGTGCGGCGCGATGTAGCTGCCAGAGACGGAACAATAGGTTCTGACCGAACAGGCATCTCACTGGCGACTTCATATGTCTTTCTGTGAAAATCCAACTTGTCTCGTGCTGTAGGATCGGGTGGATGGCCATTGCTGTCCTGCGACGTCACAGATCACGGTCCCATGTTCTCCACGAACAGCTCAGACGTCATTGAAACTCAGCTTATCAGCTTCCTTGTGTGAGGGAGGCGGGAAACCTTCCGGCACGGCTGACCGAGACGATGCTTCAACCGCATGCCAGGGTCACGAATTAAGCGCCCATCCAGGCCCAGCCCAAACCGTCTCCGAAATCCCCATCACATCTTCAAGAACAGAAATAACCGGTCATTACCGGCTCCTTATAAGATACACGAGCCTCTGTGTGAATGTTATCAATGGAGTGACAACATAATCCAGAAAAAAATATGCTACATGGCCTCTTCCCTGACAGCCTGTGCCACATGACACCATTGATATGGCTTTGCACCATCGGAACTAGCGTGGCATATTACAGATGTCACGCCCAGTGCTTTTTTGTCGGCACTTCTGGCGGCAGATCGGCCAAGCCCTTGCGCCCTGAGCAGCTTAGCCGCCCCGTGACAGGTTGTCGCGCCAGGCTTGACGGCTTGTGTCATCTGCCCGTGCTGCTCAGTACACCTGACCGGCGGCGCCGCCGGCTGACGCGACGGCTAAACCCCCGGACAAGCTCACTGCGTCACGCCGCCGACACGATCAGGTCACCTGTGACGTAGGGACGTACCGCGAAGCGGCACATCGGCTAAAAATAGACGTCCAACGCGGCTAAATGGGCTTTTGAGTCTGTTTCACCGAAATTGGCTCTGGACTGTTTAAACGCTTGACGGTTGCGTCAAACACGTTCAGGACATTCCAGCATTTATTTTGTTTTCAGAACGCTTTTCCCGCTGGAGGGGCGCACCGTGCCTGCACACAAACCACACGTGGCGATGAGCCGAGTCTACATAGGGCATGGCTGTAAGAACTAGATGAGAAACATTTCCCAAATTGCCAGCCGGCATCCCGCTCCACCTCGGCTAACTCAGGATCCAGCCCGCAGAAGCCCAGCATAACCTGCAGATTTTGTCAGAAGGAAAGGTGTATTTTTTAATGTTTAGTCGAAAGCTTATGACAGAACTTACGAAACATGCACTTTCAGTTTGCTCGGCACGTAATCTGGCACAAATGGAAACATATTAAGCCTTTAATTGTCTCACCTAATTAGATCAGCCCATCTCACACGCGCTCGGGCAGGATTCAGTTTGAGCCCCGAGCGTTTTTCCGGAATGGTTTTCGAACGGCACGGCACAACCGCGCCAAAATTTTGTTTGGCTGCAGAAAATTGAATAGCTGAACGTTTGGTATCAAAAGTTAAGGTTTCCTTGCAAGGTCACTGAAATACGGTAGGTCAAAGTCAGGCCATGGATCCGGCGAATACAATTTCTAGGGAATCGTTCAACCTAATGTAACAACGGGGTGCTAGACGAAGCTAAAGGTCAGTTATGAAAGTCAGACCAAGGTCAAAACCAACCTGTCGCGTTACTCAAAACTTACTCTATGGGGTAGTTTCTGCTGTTCGT